TGCCAGAAAAACGAATTTTTAATGAAAAATATATTTTTTTTTTTAAGAAAATTTTGTAAAAAATTTAATTTTAAGTAAAAAATAGAATTTTGATTGAAAAATTTTTAGTGAAAAATATTTTTTTTTTTTTTAATTTTGTGAACAATTTAATTTTGAGGAAAAAAAAAACGGAATTTTAATTGAAAAATTAAGTTTTTGGAGAATTTCGAATTTTTTGTGATTTTTTTTTTTCGTAAAATTTCCTGTAAAAAACATATTTTGGAGAAGAATAACTATATTCTGAATATCGTTTTGCCATGGTATGAAGTATAAACAAAATTCGTCTTCTACTTAAACATAATAAAGAAATCTTTTATTGTTTGTTAATAATATGGTTAACAAAATATTTCAGACAAAAATTTCTCTAAATGTGACTCATATATACAACTCTATACTACTTACTTCTCTTTCAATACTCTTAATATTTTAAATATTTTTAATATATTTAATCAAGAAATATTGGCCCACATTTAAATAATATAAGAAATACAAAAAAAAATAGATAAATTCTAACAGAAATGAAAAACAACAACAATAAGCAATTTACTTTTAAATATATTGTTTATCTACAGTATTTGAAAATTATGAATGAATTTTTTCCTTAACATATGTTTCTTTTTTTTTCACTCATATCTAGTGGGAGCTTGTAATCAAAAAGAGAACATTTTTAAAATCTCAACCAAAGAGTTTTAATTTATTGAGTAGAATAAAATTGAGAAAAAAATGCGTAACCGCTATTTCTTGTTGCGGAGGGAGATGGTAAAAAAAACTAAAAAAAAAACACTCATACTCTGGTATTTACAATGTAGACGACAATGTCTGCTCATACTGGGGCGACTAGACGTATGAGTAATATGAATTTCTGGTGAAATTCAACGGAAATTACAACATTAACTAATGTGGTGGTTCGTTGTTGGTGCATAGAATCTATATAGAATATAATGTTTTCGTAAAAAATCATATTGCGGTGGGAGTTATGGAATTTCAAATGGAAATAAGATAATAAATAATTATAAATGTTATGAGTAGTGTTTTTTTTAGCAAGACACGTGCTACTGTTGTTTATAATAAAATTAAAATTACCCAAACAACTGGAAATGCTGTAGAATAGTGGAAAAACTTTAAATACCCCGCATTAGTTATGTTAAATTTAGTTGTACAATATTTTGCCTAGTTAGTACCTTTTTCTACATATTTCTCTGATAACTAACCATTATAAGAGGAAATTACACACCAATTAATTGTCTTGTACGGCTACTGTTCATTTCCTAATTGTGCAGATCAAGGTTAATTAGTGATAAGATAGCCAAACATTTACTTATCTAAATCCTATTATAAATAAAACTTTTATTTTTTAAACAAATTTATAAAGTTATTAAACAAATATTTACATATAGCATTAAATAGTAAGATTTAATTATTTATTTTTTACTTAGGTGTTTTTATATTGCAGAGAAAATATTTGTTTACTAGACTGTTGGCATTAGATAATGGGAGATTTAAATTTGGCGCAAATTTTGCGGTAAAGTATGGCCCACCATAAACGCAATTTGTAGTCTAAACTATAAGAGTTAATAATAATTAAAAGTTAAACAGGAAGCAAAATGCTGCCAAAATTTTCTTAATGCATATTGGATATTAAAGGAACTGTTTCAGAGATTCAAACTGTAAAAATGATTTTATTACAAATTTTTCACAAAAAAGGCATTTTTCTAATTGGTTGATTCTCCAGAAATTATTTAATTTTTCACGAACATTTTTATCTAAATATAACGGTCCTACACCAATCTTAAAGTATACTAATCGGCTCACAGACACAGTCTATTAACATTATCAAACTAAATGGCTCAACTTTGGGTATTACTCTTAACCCAAAAACGAACCTAATTTATTATTTCACCTAGTCTCTATACAACCGCACCCGCACAAATAAAAAATCAACTACATTTTATATAAAACCGATTTTGTAATGGTCGAGGATAAGATGTCGAAGCACCTGCCGTGTTGGCCTTATTTCACGGTGGGACTTTTTCAACCACTGGGTGAGCTTGGCAATTTTTATAAATGGTTCTGCACTTTGCTCAAGTACTCGAGCTTTCTAATCTTTGATCATTGCTGCCTCGTTTCTTAACATCCGAAAAGGAAAAAGTTTACTTCCTTTTATACAACACTATCATAGAGAACAACATACACCACACTCACTCTAGATATAAGGCTAGATAAGTACCATATACCCTACATACATCCTGTATCATATACACTTAACCGTGCATCAGTCAACGCTTAGTCCCACAGCCACTGTTCTGTGTTGTATCTGTTGTACCGCGACATCAGCAACGAACTTATCCGAAATTGTAGTCTTTACCGTGTTGCGAAGTTTGATCTAAACCAAAGCCATCACGTGTAACCTGGTGGTATCGGGACAAGAAAAAGTCCGAAACTCTGACCTGTGGGCTACCAGTTCCAATGGTACCAGATTATGTGGTTGTCAAATCATTCCAAGGAAAGGCTGAGGATACATTTGATCATCACCAGTTTATAGTGCCGACAGACTAGAGATACTGGTAGCACCTCTTTTTCCCGGTATTACATAACACCAAGATGAGGTCTTTCATCAAGGTAACAGATTTAGTGTCGAATACATACATTTGACACTAGCTTCCATATTAAGTCTCTTCCAGAAAATCAGTTTCCCATCAAAAAATTGCTTAAATATATTGAAATTATTGCAAAATTCAACCCAATTTTTTATTAAAACAAGTGAGAATGTCATGGTCGACTTTATGATACCCTACACCGGTGTGTATGTTTTATTATTAGGATTATTTTTAATAATAAAGTATTTAAGTAGTTTTTTATTAATTCCGAAATATTTTAACAAATTGTTTTTAGAAAATGTAATTTTATAGAGAGAGATTATATAGGGGCAAGTGGAAATATGGGCCTATCCTTATAAATGATTTAGACTTATATAAAATAATGTCTTACTGATTTTTGTAGAGATACTACAACTTTTAACATAATTATGGGCTCAAAAGGTGTATTTGGGGATACGGGTGTATGGGGGCTAGGTGAAATAATGAACCGATTTTAACTATTTTCAATAGGCTTCGTCCTTGGGTCGAATTATCTTGTAAATTGCGACCTGTAGTTTGATTACAACATATTCCGAATATGATTCTGAGCCGATTGGTATAATTTAAGGTGGATATAGGACGAATATTTTTGTGCGTTACAAACGTCAGCACAAACCCAATATACCCTGCCCAATAAAGTGGTGTAGGTTATAAAAATAACTAACATTTTATTGTATTTAAATACTCTCATGCTATGTATAAGGTATCATATGGTTGGCCATGTCCGATCATACTTTGTTACTTGATTTTAATTATTTTTATTTCTTTATATTTTCAGGTAATTAAATCAAATTACTATACGTAAATGGTAAGTCAAATATAATATTGTTATTTTAAAATGAGCTTTAAGTCGCCTATGTTAGGGCCAAAAAACAAGTCTTAAATATTTCCCATATATGTATGCATATGTAAATTTGCCCTAAAGGATAATATAATCTGTTTTCATATAAGCACTACACGCATACATATGTAAAATGCAAAATCGGTCAGATAGCTCTTTGTGCAATGTCAGGTCTAAAAAATCTACATCACGCATAAATATTTAAAATGAAAAAGAAAATCGGTCAGATAGCTGTTTTGTACGATGTCAGATGGAAAAGATTTGGGGTAAAATCTAAAGAAAATCGTTCAGATAGCTCTTTGTACAGTGTCAGGTCTAAAAAATCTGATGTCAAATGTAAAGAAAATCTATCAGATAGCTCTGTGTACGATGTCAGATCTAAAAAAAATTTGGTCTAATACATATACATACGTATAGAATTTTCAACTCCTTAAATTTTACCACCAAGTAAGGTAAATTCCTGATTTTTTAACTTTATATGTATATTGACTTAACTTACACGTCATATAGTATAACAACAAAAGTTACATTACCACCAACAAGTTGATATAAGTTCAAAAAACATAGTTGATATAAGTTCAAAAAAGAGAAAAAATTTTACTTACACACACTGTTTCTCTCTTAAAATACAGTAAACAAAAATTAAAAGAACCAAATAAATACTCAGCTACTAAAAACAGCTGTTTTGCTCATAACGTCATCAATAGGTTTGCCGGCTTTTTACCGATTGTGTATTATTGTACAATATAGTATCATTTTATTATGTCTCTCACCCAGGGGGCCAGCTGATTGTGAACCAATTTGAAACGCATACCTCCTATACTATAGTAGAATAAGTTTTATTGAAAAAACAAAACAAAGCAATATTGCCCACAATCAAAAACAATCAAATAAACACTTTAGAAGAGACAATAATACTAATAATACGTTACTCGTTCAATACAAATTGAAAAAAGAGTGTTGTTTTGTTCTTTTGATTGTTTGGGAAGCAAAAAAAAAACAAAAAAATCTGCTCAAAACACCTTAAAAAATCATAATATAAAAGTGGTTCTATAAAAACTCTCTTTTTTCTCTTTTGTAGTTTGTTTTGTTGTTATATTTATCGTTTTGTGGGATTTTGCACAAAAGTGAAAAAAAAAACAAAATTAAATTCACTCAAACATTGAGTATTTGATATTGTTGCAAATATTTTAGTATGTTAAAAGTTATTGAAGTGTTAACAACGTTTAAAAAGTTAGTTTATTACTTGTAAAAAAATCAAAAGAAAATTAATAATTTATTTTTTTTTAATATAACAACGAAAAAGTGTTAAGTGAAATTAAATTGCCGAATAAAAAAAAAACAAATAAACATTGAAAAGTTATAAAGTTGTTTTTAAAAAAAGAGGATTTTATCCATTTGTTGGCAGAAGTGGAAAATTACAAGGTGTTTTAAATTGATTTTATTTAAATTAAATAAATTTTTTATGATTTTTATATTTTTTTCTTTATTTTTAATGGTAAGTTGAAGGGAATATTGTTTTATTTTTTTTATGTGTGTTGTGCGTTTTATTGTGAAATTCGTTTTTTATATTTGTGTTTGATTTAAAATTTATAGTTTTTTTAAATACCTACTTGCCACCTCAAGTTTGTGTCTATGTACGGTTTTCATGTCTTTGAATTTATGATGAAATTAAGAGAAATTCTATAATTATCTTATCGGGGAATTTAACCTTTTTTTAAGAATCGCCAACAGGTGTTTGCTGGGGGATTTTGTAGTCTAAATTAATGATATTATTGTTATTGTTTTAGAACGTTGGTTATTTTTTTAATTGGTTAGGCAGAAAGCGTTTTGTTTAAATTAAATTTATAAAAATTTAACTTTGCCTTACAAAATTTTCTCTGGTTTTGAGTGAAAATTTCGTGAAACATTTCTTGAACATTTTCTAAACAAAAATATGTGCAACCGGAAATTTCGGGTACGTCCGGCATATAAACCACGCATTGATTTATAAACTTCTTGCAATTTTGTTTGAATTGAATTAGTCATTACGTTTGTTAGATATGAAAATATTACTTATTGACCTCATGAAGAAAATTTAATGTGGATGCTTATAAGATTCTATTATAATCTAACAATGTCCGTTCATCCATCCATCTGTTGAAGTCATGATGGATACCAAAGAGATTAAATTGACTTCTTGCAATTTTGTTTGAATTGAATTAGTCATTACTTTTGTAAAACATCAAAATATTACTTTTAGAACCCATAAAGATTATTTAATCTGGATCCTTATATGATTCTATTATAATCTAGCAATGTCCGTCCATCCAACTGTTAAAGTCACTATAGACACCAACGGAAAAGACCCAAAGGATTAAATTTTCTGAAAATGTTATCCAAAGATAAGAAATTTTATTTATTGCAAATAAAGCATATTACTTAAAGAAAGAAAAATTTATTAGAAAACGTCCGTCCATCCACCGTTTAAAAGTAAGACAAATACTAAAGGTAGTAAACAAATGAACACAAATTCGAAAAGAATATTTACTTAGAATGTTGAGATATGTATATATTACTTAAACCGACAAAATGTTTTGACTTAAGATAGTATATAAGAATAACTAAGTGATCTTTCATTATCCATTAATATTTGCAAAGCAATTATTACTGCCAATAACTTCGTATTCATCAGCTGTTTAATGCATTATATGAACAAAGGAATATCTTTGGAAGCAAGAAATTCAAATCTTTTTTTGATTTACTCCAAATTTCATTACTTATGCAAAACACATACATATACTCGATTTGCTAAAACCAGACTTCAATTCTAAAGAAAACTTAATTACAAATATATATTTCTCACTCTAATTATGATGAAATTACAAACAAAATAAAAACCACACATTTTCATGGCTTGTAAACTAAATAAAAAAAAACAACAAAAAACAAAAAACAAATCTTGAAATTTCAAATACCTTACTTGGCAACAAGTTGAAAACAATATGAAATAAAATGAATTGAAATTTTTAAAACGTACCACCTTATGTGACGTCATTTTGGCCAGCATTCATTCATTTACACATTTTATTGATTTAAACAATAACAACAACTACAATGAAAAATAAGTCTAAAATCAAAACAAGAACAACAACAACAATAGACATAATAAAATAAAGAATTGAAAATTGAAAACAACAGCAAACCATTAACACCTTTTTTGATAACGTCTTTAAACATCTTAACTGGCTTAAACTAACCACATATTTGCATTACGTCTGAGACCAAAAGATGAAAAAAACACACACACTCACACAAAATCAAACCTACTTGCTAATTAATAAAGTTCATGCTGTTTTAATACGGCTACTGTATTTTATTGAATTCTAAATTTATGCTTTAAAAAAAAAAAAACATGTGAACTTAATTTACAATTTATTATTTTATCAACAATGAATTGACGTCTGTTCCTGGTCTTCTGCTCAAGGGAAAAAAGTTTCCATTTGGTGTTTATAAATTAATGTTTGATCTTTTCTATTTAATATTGTTAGTTTAAATATAGCATAAAGTAGTTAAAAATAGCACTTAATTTTACTGGTATTTATTTATAAAAATATTTTAAAGTTTAATTTTAAATTTGCTAAAAATAATTATAGACAAAAGATTAATGTGCAGATAATAAAATTAAATCAATAGCTATAAATTGTTTATGACTAAATCTTAGTATTTTGGCAATATGTGGGGTAAGATAAGGAATTGAAGAACCTGTTCATAGGCTTAGTTAAATACACCTGTCCCTCGTTTTGCACGATATATTCTGTTATATATAGTATTTTTTTAATATAATTTTATATGTTTTAATGTGAATAACGTAACAAAGCAAACAAAAGAAAAAAATTTCATTTTTGTATTTAAGAAAATTAGAGTACTTATATTGTTGAAGTACTTAAATGGGAAATTCCCTTTCTAATACCATTACTAATGTTGCCAGAATAAGATTTATTATCTGTATTTTATTAAAAATGTAAATCGAGGTATTCCCTCGATTTACACGAGAAATAAAAAAGTCGTGTTAAATCGAAATCGTGTTAAATCGAAATCGTGCAAAACGAGGGATAGGTGTAGTTAGTTAGCTAGTTAGTTAGTTAGTTAGTTAGTTAGTTAGTTAGTTAGTTAGTTAGTTAGTTAGTTAGTTAGTTAGTTAGTTAGTTAGTTAGTTAGTTAGTTAGTTAGTTAGTTAGTTAGTTAGTTAGTTAGTTAGTTAGTTAGTTAGTTAGTTAGTTAGTTAGTTTAGTTAGTTAGTTAGTTAGTTAGTTAGTTAGTTAGTTAGTTAGTTAGTTAGTTAGTTAGTTAGTTAGTTAGTTAGTTAGTTAGTTAGTTAGTTAGTTAGTTAGTTAGTTAGTTAGTTAGTTAGTAGTTAGTTAGTTAGTTAGTTAGTTAGTTAGTTAGTTAGTTAGTTAGTTAGTTAGTTAGTTAGTTAGTTAGTTAGTTAGTTAGTTAGTAGTTAGTTAGTTAGTTAGTTAGTTAGTTAGTTAGTTAGTTAGTTAGTTAGTTAGTTAGTTAGTTAGTTAGTAGTTAGTAGTTAGTTAGTTAGTTAGTTAGTTAGTTAGTTAGTTAGTTAGTTAGTTAGTTAGTTAGTTAGTTAGTTAGTTAGTTAGTTAGGTTAGTTAGTTAGTTAGTTAGTTAGTTAGTTAGTTAGTTAGTTAGTTAGTTAGTTAGTTAGTTAGTTAGTTAGTTAGTTAGTTAGTTAGTTAGTTAGTTAGTTAGTTAGTTAGTTAGTTAGTTAGTAGTTAGTTAGTTAGTTAGTTAGTTAGTTAGTTAGTTAGTTAGTTAGTTAGTAGTTAGTTAGTTAGTTAGTTAGTTAGTTAGTTAGTTAGTTAGTTAGTTAGTTAGTTAGTTAGTTAGTTAGTTAGTTAGTTAGTTAGTTAGTTAGTTAGTTAGTTAGTTAGTTAGTAGTTAGTTAGTTAGTTAGTTAGTTAGTAGTTAGTTAGTTAGTTAGTTAGTTAGTTAGTTAGTAGTTAGTTAGTTAGTTAGTTAGTTAGTTAGTTAGTTAGTTAGTTAGTTAGTTAGTAGTTAGTTAGTTAGTTAGTTAGTTAGTTAGTTAGTTAGTTAGTTAGTTAGTTAGTTAGTTAGTTAGTAGTTAGTTAGTTAGTTAGTTAGTTAGTTAGTTAGTTAGTTAGTTAGTTAGTTAGTTAGTAGTTAGTTAGTTAGTTAGTTAGTTAGTTAGTTAGTTAGTTAGTTAGTTAGTTAGTTAGTTAGTTAGTTAGTTAGTTAGTTAGTTAGTTAGTTAGTAGTTAGTTAGTTAGTTAGTTAGTTAGTTAGTTAGTTAGTTAGTTAGTAGTTAGTTAGTTAGTAGTAGTTAGTTAGTTAGTTAGTTAGTTAGTTAGTTAGTTAGTTAGTTAGTTAGTTAGTTAGTTAGTTAGTTAGTAGTTAGTTAGTTAGTTAGTTAGTTAGTTAGTTAGTTAGTTAGTAGTTAGTTAGTTAGTTAGTTAGTTAGTTAGTTGTAGTAGTTAGTAGTTAGTTAGTTAGTAGTTAGTTAGTTAGTTAGTTAGTTAGTTAGTTAGTTAGTTAGTTAGTTAGTTAGTTAGTTAGTTAGTTAGTTAGTTAGTTAGTTAGTTAGTTAGTTAGTTAGTTAGTAGTTAGTTAGTTAGTTAGTTAGTTAGTTAGTTAGTTAGTTAGTTAGTTAGTTAGTTAGTAGTTAGTTAGTTAGTTAGTTAGTTAGTTAGTAGTTAGTTAGTTAGTTAGTTAGTTAGTTAGTTAGTTAGTTAGTTAGTTAGTTAGTTAGTTAGTTAGTTAGTTAGTTAGTTAGTTAGTTAGTTAGTTAGTTAGTTAGTTAGTTAGTTAGTTAGTAGTAGTTAGTTAGTTAGTTAGTTAGTTAGTTAGTTAGTTAGTTAGTTAGTTAGTTAGTTAGTTAGTTAGTTAGTTAGTTAGTTAGTTAGTTAGTTAGTTAGTTAGTTAGTTAGTTAGTTAGTTAGTTAGTTAGTTAGTTAGTTAGTTAGTTAGTTAGTTAGTTAGTTAGTTAGTTAGTTAGTTAGTTAGTTAGTTAGTTAGTTAGTTAGTTAGTTAGTTAGTTAGTTAGTTAGTTAGTTAGTTAGTTAGTTAGTTAGTTAGTTAGTTAGTTGGTTGGTGAGCCGAATACCCAAGTTCCAGTGGTTTACTTTTACATATTTTTTCCATATATTGATTGGATGATATCTGTCTGACTCATCGGTGTTAAACTGCCCACTGAACTACATATTTCTTTTATTGGTCAATTCACATGGTTTTTACGAGACAACACTATACCTTTAAATTAACCCAGAAGAATGTAGTACATACAGTACTGCGTGTGGCTTTTATATTGTTTGGAAATATGACAGTTTTCGAATAAATGATAAATTTTAATATATATATAAAAATTATGTTTGATAACCAGGTATGAGTTAGCAAATTTTTTTGTCAGACACTTACTATATCGTATACATATGATGAATTTTATCAATAGCACGTTTAATAATTAAAAATTTCTTTATCATTCATTCTTATAATATAAATATTTTCTATACTTCGAGGGCACAATTTGTCTCCTACTATGTCCGAAATCTTTTGATCCTCTGGTTATTCTATTTTCGGGATTAAACGAAAAATGTAATAAGTTATAAAAATATTTAAAACGCCAAATATAAGTATTAATAAAATAATATCATAAATATAAATATTAGTGACTACTTAATAAATAGCAAGTAGTTATTATGTCTTATGTTTTATTAAAGGTTCTTATCAAAAATTGTTTGAAAACATTTCAATATCACTTTTTAATTGTTGATTTTAAAGTATATTGCTAATGACCAGTTTTAGTTTATAGCTAAAGGGTGTTGCAATATTTTCACAAAATTTAAATTAAAAAATAAAAAAAAATAGTTCGCGGATATAAATATAAGTAACAGAAAGATTCTAATAAATATTATTTTTGGCAATTGTTTAAAAATTTTAAAATATAATTTTTTAACAATTTTTACAACTAAATATCAATAAAACTCGCTAAAAAAATTTTTAAAATTTCAATAAAATACAGTTATGAGATAAGTTGATAGAATACAACAATTAATTTTGTAATAATTATTACACTTTATTGACTATACCTCGACATTACTCAATCACTCAATAATCAGCAAAATTCATTTGCTAAATTTAAATAAAATCACACATTTAAATAAAACCCACTTGTAAACGTGTAAACTAATAAACTATTAACAGCGAATTAATTAGTTAATAAAATACAATAAAGCTTAAGCTCAAAACAAAATAAGTAAGAAGTTATTGTGGGCAAGGCCGACCATATAATATCCTACACCAGTTAGAAAAATATAATGTCATTTATTTTCTATAATAAAGTATTTAAGTTGAAATGTATCTTGCTTTATATATACTTAAACCATTTATTGTTGAATAAAATTTTGGACATTTAAGTCATATTTTGAAGGGGGCTTTGTATAGGGGCTAGGGTCAAGTGAGGCTCTATCATTATAAAATTCATCAGGGTCATCAAGGCTAGTATAGAACTTTCAGCTTTTGCAGCTTTTTGTCGAGATACGAGTATATTAAACAAAATTGTAAACTTAAGTGCCCTATTCGAGGGTTTCAGTTGTATGGGGGCTAGGTGAAGTAATGGACCGATGTTAATCTTTTTCAATAGGCTTCGTCTCTACTTCAATAGAAGATCATGTACCAAATTTCATTGAATTTTCTTCAAAATTGCGAATCAAAGTACGATTACAAGGTTTACATGGACGGACGGTCAGATGGATGGACAGACATACGGTCTGACAGATGGACGGACAGACGTACGGTCAGACAGATGAACGGACAGGGCTAACCAGGGCTGGGAATAGGACCAATATTATTGTGCGTTACAAACATCAGCACAAACCAAATATACCCTTCCCACTAAAGTGATGTAGCGTATAATAAACAAAAAAACCCCTAGACTTAAAGACGTCTAAGCTTTTAGAATATTAAATAGTTTTGTTTTGTTTCCATACTAAACAAAAAAGTAACATCATGATATCAGGTGTAAAATATATATTTTTAGATTTATAAATAAAACACGCACAGTAAAACCTTGTGATTTCAAAATTTTCAAATTTTCATAGAGGCATGGCATGAGTTTCATTGTATAGAAAAATAAAGCTAGAAAACACTTTAACACTCGCCTTAGTGACGTTATTAACAGCTTTTTTTTTCTTTGATTCTGGCTTTCATTAAGATAAAATATAACAATTTCATTGTATTTTATTAGTATTTATACAATTTTATTTACATTATTTGTGGAAAAGTTAAAATATAAAATAAAAAAAATTCGCATGATTGGAAAAAAACATGTTGATTGTAAAATTATAGTAGTGGAAAAAAATGTATAAAGTTAAGATTTGTTTTACCTTTCTAAACCAGCGAAAACAGCGATTAATATTTAAAAATAATCAAATGAAACGTTAAACACAATAATACTCATTAAATTTGGAAAATCCCAATTTAATAATGAGGGGATTTTTTGTACAAAACTGTTGTAAAAACAAACGAAATTAGAAAAAAAAATCAAATAAAATTCCAATTTTGTTTCAAATCATATTTAGACGTATACACAAACCAACAACTATTGAGGAGGGAGATTAAGCAAACTTAAAGCTATAACTTAACAATAGATAGACGGACGCAACTTTACGTTGGGTTAAGACCACTGTTGTAAGGTATTATAAACAGCAGGCATAATACCATCTCATCTCTGATGTAAATATTTTTAGAGCTTGACAAGAAATTCTCATTAAATAGCTCGTATACCACATTAACTCTTCACACTCCTCTAGTTAGTTAGTTAGTTAGTTAGTTTGAAAGGAGGATGTATATACATCAAATCCGAAGAAATACACCTAGGCCTCTATCGGGCCTAGGTGTATTTCTAACTTGTTCAATCTTACCCAAAAAAAGAATACATTAACCAAAGCGAAACTTTAAGCAAATTTTTCCATAAAGGAAATTTTTAAAGTTTATTTTTTTTTTTTGCCATTTAAATTTTTGTTAATAATTAACATAAAAAAATATACAAAACTAATTTCACAACTTAAAAAAACAAATAATTACATATTTAAATATTTGTTGAACAAAAAAAAAAAAATAAAGAAAAATAAAAACGCACTCACACAAATAGTAATAAATTATATTTATTTGAAAGCTAATATACTCTTCTACTTTTTTTTGACAAAAAAATAATAAACAACAATAACAACAGGTGTTAGTTGCTAATCGAACGCAACTGACAGAGAGATACCAACAAGACGGCCAACCTAAAACAACGATATTTTCTATTAGGCGAGCAGCCGTTGCCAATAATACGGCCGCAGCAATTGCAACATTATAGTTCACAACACTACAAAACGAGGCAACCAAGGCAGCTAGATTTAAACAACAACAACAACAATAACAAATTGTTTGAAAGACAACAACAGCCACAACTAAAACAACAATTACTACATACGACCATCAGTTGCTGTCATAATTGTAACTGTTGCTGCAAAGGTGATTGTAGTGTTGGTCGTTGTATTTGTTGTTGCAGTCGTCGTCGTTATTGCTGTTGCATGTTAACGCAAAGTTTCACGCATAAAAGCCACAAAATTACCACCTTAACAACAGACAGTTATAAACAACTATTTGTTTTGATTACCATGTTATTAACAGTATTAAGTGTACAGCCATCAACATTTACAATGGCAGCACCTATGCAACAGCCACAACAGTATCAGTTGACGCAACCGCAGCTACAACCACCAGAACAACATAATTTACCATACGATTTACTTCATCAACAACCGTCGTCGCAGTTATATGAAATTTTGTTGGCTGAAAAACAACAATTGGAGACTGATAAGATAAGAATGCGAAGGGAGGAGATGGAAAATGTGGCCGATTTGGTGGATGTGGATAAGGTCTATAAACGTCAAACAAATTTTCATGATCGTTATCATATTATAATGCAGTCTCAGACGATAAATTGGTATAATCCTTGTGGTGGCATTCATAAAATGGACGAAAAACCGGTTAAGCGTAAGAGACCTCCACCGATTAAGAAGGTAAGTTTTGAAAGAGCTTTATAAAAGCTTTCTTAGTTTTTATTATAGAACAGTACAGTTAGTATAGAACAGTAGCAAAATTATGCATTTAACTGTACATTAAAATTTTAACCCGAAACCATAGCACATTTTTAGCTAAACACAAATCTGGCCTAGGAACTTTTCTATTACTTCAAAATTTTGAGTTATCGTTTTAAAGTTCTAAAGCTTTTAAAACCGTTTTTGACAATATTTAAGACATTATAAAAGCACAAAAGAAAATGGTTTTTGATCGTATCTTCTTCGAGATATTATAAAGCTTGAAACAATCTTAAATTTTTAAAAGCTAAATTTTTAACTTTACTTCGCCTCCATTATATGACAAACTTATACGACAATATTTGTCAAAGCTTCTTTCAAAAAGCACTTTTCGATTTGCCTAAAAAGATCTCTTGTAATTGATACCGTCCGTCATTTTTTAAGTTAAGATATCTCAAAGAAGTAAAAAGATTTAACAGAGGTAAAAGCTTTATTTTAAAGTTGACAGATTGGCAAAGCAAACTTTGTAAGTGTAGGTGTTATTATGATGTTATAAGGTCTCAAATATGACCAAAATCAAACAAAGACATGATATTCCTGAAGAAATTCTGAAATTGTTCAATCTTACGACATGATAACTCAAAAACCTAAGGTGATGGAGAAATTCGAATACTACACAGCTTTAAGCTTTATAAAAAACATGTTTTGCTTTCCAGGTTTAGATTCTTTTTAAATTGTATAGGCCTGTGTAATTTAGATAATTTCTTGTATTAAAACATTACGAAAAGCTTTTATCTTTTCTCTTTTTCTTTTTTTTTCAGGAACTTCGAAAACTTCAGAATACCACAGTGAAATATTATAATTTTATTAAGGAGAATCTACATGCGATCAATATAGGTAACATGAAACAATGGGATTCAGCTGCGGAGAATTACTCTTTTTTGCCAAAATTAAATACTAATTCAAGTGTAAGTATTATAATTATTACTTGTTATCATACAAATATCAAATAAGCTCCTTTTTACATAAACGGAAAAAGATATATTTCATAAATGCGGAAAAAATTGTATTTAGCAACAGTTTAACAAAAAATATTTTTAAAATAGCGCTAAATTATAGCGGATTATAACCATAAATATAAAAAGTCGTAAAAGCTAAAGGTAAACTTAAAATCAACAAACACGAATTCATTACTTTACTGCTTACTATTGTTGCTTTAGAAAAACTAAACTTTCTTCACCGACAACTTTGGCTTTTTGAACATTCACTAATATTCTCAACACAACTGTTTGAAACAATTTAAAATCCACATACTACCACTTGTTTTCTTCCCTACGTTGTTCCTCAAAAGAAATGACGACAGCAACAATGAAAATTCATGTCAATGTTCTTTTTTGTTTAAGTCAGCTACAATGTTGTTGTTATTATTTTTATAATTTTTTTTTTTTATTTGTACCTTACTAACCATAATTGTTGGCACGTTACCCTGGGGGCGTTGATTGAGTAGTTTATGAATTTATTCTTTCATTCTCTCTCAACATCATCATTTATCTTTAGATACTCGTACTCGCAACGACTGACAGACAGGCTGGCAGTCTCATAACCATCCATACACACATATTTGATCGTTGTTCCTCTTATGGATTGTTGTATGATTTAGGTGTCTTGTTAACCAGTTGTTAAATATCAGTTTCTTTTCACTTGTCCCTCAGTCGTCCTTTATTTTACTTCCCTCTTCATTTTTTTTTTCTTTATTTAATGATTACGACGTTGGGGTTTTTGCAAATACTCGCATACATTTTGGCAGGTTTTAATGTACTTTTTATTTATTTTCTTATTTGAAGGATGTTTTTTGATAATGTAAAAAGTTGTTTCTTAAGTAGTGCAAACTGTATAGCCATAAAACTTGTAAGAATGCCGCCATAAGTAGTAGTGATTTTATTTTTTGTTAAGGTTTTAAATGTGAAAATCTTTAAATATATTTTTTTGAAGAAAAATCAGCACGAAAGTGGGTTTTAAATCAGGGGAGAGAAATATATGATAATAAAGATCGTTTTTTTTTTTTTTTTTGGTATTAATGTGTGTGTGTGTGGATCCTGCCCAAGCGTTTGGGGGGCTAAATTGTGTTTTTTACTTATATTGTTTTTTTTCCTCATTTTTATATTTTGTATGAAAAATTTTCGGTTTGGGGCGGTGGTAATTTCCCTTCCCCCTGTAGATCCGTGCCTGTTTTATACATATATATTTAAAGCAGATTGAATACAAAGTAATGAAATCCGAAAAGTCTCGTACTCTATCCAGAATGTTACTTAAATTCACTAGATTTCTTGTGCGATGTAGAATGTTATCATCGAAAAAGGAAAATTATGATCAATTTCACTCTATCACGAATTCGTCCCCTCAATCGATCAATCACTCGATCGATCAAGATCTTAATAGTGTTTAAACTCTGATTCCAAACATCGAAAAAGGAAATTTATGATCAATTTCACTCTATCACGAATTCGTCCCCTCAATCGATCAATCACTCGATCGATGAAGATCTTATTAGAGTTTAAACTCTCATTCCGATCATTCTCGAATGCTGCGAGTTGAACTCAGGCTGTTGGCAATTAAAGTTAAAGTGCTCTCTTGTTAGCCAGACATGAAGTTTGATAAAGTTTTCAGAATCAGAGTGAATGATGTAGTATGTATGTGTAACTTACTGAATGAACTGCAGTGTTGGTTTTAGCGGTTTCTTTGAATGTGTCAATGTCATACCAATAACTATAGAGTTTTTGAGGCTGAAATATAATAGTCTGTAGGACACTATATGATATCTATATTCGTAACAATATAAGAATGTTTGACAACACCCGGGCGACCTTATAATACCACTTCCCCTTTGCTAATGTAATAATGATCTATTAAGTATGGTTCGCGCTGCATAGAAACTACTATGGAAATGAAATAGACTTTGACTTTGACTTCAATAATTTGGTCACATTTGTAAAGTTATTCCACCTTCTCTGCGAATGCACTGCTCTAGACGCCAATAGGAATAGATTCCTGGGCAAATACATTATATACAAACTGTATTATCTGGGTTCAGACTCAACGACCCCTACATATAACGACATTACGATGCAACTGACCGTAATACGCAGTTTAACATATAAGTATATGATCTCTAGTATCATGTGTATATGATCTAGTTCAAGTCCAATAATTATCAAATCAAGGGCGAATAATATGTTATTATTATTGAGTATCTGGCTTGTTTTTAAGCTTTTAAAAGTTAATAATATTCTTTATGATTTGCTTCTTTTAATTTTATTTCAAATTTCTTTACAAAAACTTACAAGGTAACCAACAAACAATAGAACAAACACAATACAAAAAACTTGGGTTTTCCCACTTTTTTAAACTCTTTGCAAAAAAAGTACCGGCCAGATATACATACAATTACCGTACAATTGTTATTAAAATTAATTCAAAGACAGAAAAACTGTTATAATTTAATTTACTCAGTTATTTTTGTTCAATACAAAAAAAAACAAACATAAGTTTTTTTGCAATTTTTTTTTAAAAATAAACCTTATTTTCTACTTACTGTTACTTGATAATAATTTATTTTTAAACCTCGATGACAGTATAAACTTTTAATAAGAATATAGAAAATTTACTTATTATGCACCCTCCAACTAAGTATACATCCAATAAAATAATATTTGATAAACAATAATTTTAACGCCAAAAACAAAAACTCACACAATTACTTGTATACTTAATTATTAGGAAACATCAACATTAAATTGGAATTTCAGAGAAATTCTAAAACTCAACACAAATTGACGTCAATTCAAAAACGGTGTTTGAGTAACCACAATAACAAACCCTTTCTTGGCACCTTCACATAAGTGAATAAAACTTAAACCAGCATATTCAATATACGACAACAGCTATAAATGAAATCAGCGAAAAACAAAATCAATTTACTTACAATTTTATATTGATTTTTCAGCAAATACAAAAAAACTCACTGAATAAAATGAATCATAACAATAAACGAACTACAGGCAGACCAACGCTATGTTTTCGTCTAGCATGTGCTTTTTTATAATAAACATTGTTTGAATGTGTACCAAACATTATTATGACTATAGTTATTTTTTTGGTGGGATTCCCTGCGAATGATAGATCAGGGGGCTCGCTGACAGCTGCCAACACACCCAGTAAGCAGCTACACAACTTGACATACTCATACTCAGGCTTTATTGAAATCGCTTAAATTTCATTACGTATATTTTTAGCACAATGAACAGAGAAACAAATTCTATGAAATTACACCTGATCCTCTTTAGGCGGCCTTTAAGCACCTTATCCAATAAATTTCATTAAAAATTTTTGATAAATTTTCTTTTTAGAGAAAATTTTTAATCAATTTCCTTTTCTTATAGAAAATTTTCCTTAAGTTTTCTTTTTATAGAAAATTCTTTAAATTTTCTTTCTATAGAAAATTTTCTTTAAATTTTCTTTCTATAGAAAATTTTCTTTCTATAGAAAATTTTCTTTAAATTTTCTTTCTATAGAAAATTTTCTTTAAATTTTCTTTCTATAGAAAATTTTCTTTAAATTTTCTTTCTATAGAAAGTTTTCTTTAAATTTTCTTTCTATAGAAAGTTTTCTTTAAATTTTCTTTCTATAGAAAGTTTTCTTTAAATTTTCTTTCTATAAAAATTTTTTTTAAATTTTCTTTCTATAGAAAATTTTCTTTAAATTTTATTTCTATAGAAAATTTTCTTTCTATAGAAAATTTTCTTTCTATAGAAAATTTTCTTTAAATTTCCTTTCTATAGATAATTTTCTTTAAATTTCCATTCTATAGAAAATTTTCTTTAAATTTTCTTTCTATAGAAAATTTTCCATAAATTTTCTTTCTATAGAAAAATTTCCATAAATTTTCTTACTATAGCAAATTTTCCATAAATTTTCTTTTTATAGAAAATTTTTTAATAAATTTTCTTTTTATAGAAAATTTTCTATTAAATTTTCTTTTTATAGAAAATTTTCTAATAAATTTTCTTTTTATAGAAAATTTTCTAATAAATTTTCTTTTTATAGAAAATTTTCTAATAAATTTTCTTTTTATAGAAAATTTTCTAATAAATTTTCTTTTTATATAGAAATTTCTGATAAATTTCGTTATTATAGAAATTTATCCATAAATTTTCTTTTTATATCAAATTTTCCATAAATTTTCTTTTTATAGCAAATTTTCCATAAATTTTCCTTTTATAGAAAATTTTCTAATAAATTTTTTTTATATAGAAAATTTTCTAATAAATTTTCTTTTATAGAAAATTTTCGATAAATTTTCCCTGTTAGCAGTCTCGTGTTAAAAATCAGCAAATTTGATTTATTACTCGTAAACTAAGACTGAAGTGTATGAAAAAATAAATTATACTTATCGCATGAATGAAATTTTTATTGTTTGTTAATTCAACGAACTTGCCTTTCCTCCCCCTCTCTTAATCGACAAACAACTGACAAAGCCGGTTGATGGTGGCGATGAAACGTCACAACACATTCATTTATAATATAATCGTATTACTGTTGTTGTAGTATATTTGAAAATAAAATGACGACTACGACAATACGTTATTTATTTACTTTTCATATTATTACCGCACAAAAATGTTTAAACGATATTCCAGTGAAACAAAAAAAAATTTAAACACGTTTTCTATTGATATACTTAGAACTAAAACTGGTAAATGCTGTCAATAATTAATTAATTTTATTTATTATTTTAATAACGATATTTTTTTCAATGAATTATTTATAAATTCTATAAATATTGTTTAATTTCCAGTTAACATTTAAACCAACTAGCGTCACTTATTGTTACTTGTTCCTACAGCAATCAGTTCAAGTTCATTAAACTTTTTTTTATATTATTTTTTGCATGAAATGTGCAAGTTAAAGGGAAATAAGCTGTAAAAATTTCCAATGGAAATTATTTGTTTTCTAAGCTCTATTATAATAGTTTTGTCACGTGAGTATCACTGGACATTATTACATTTAGTATGACTTATTCAATATGAATTTGTGCTACAGACATGGCATGACTATTTTTGTAGCATGATTTTCTAAACAACAAATTGTAGCAGAGCTACATGTTGTATATCACGTTTGCTAGAAACTTTTACGGTTCAATTTTATTTTGCATATTTTGTGTTAAAATTAATCATCGCTATTGCTTTTGAGAATGGTTTGTATGTATGTATAAAAAAACTACATACATATGTATGTATTTCACTGTAATGAAAACTTTGAGAATTTTAAATATTTTTGCAATTAATAATAAAACAAAAATGTTATAACATTTTTCGATAAATTTTCTCTTTATAGAAAATGTTTCACTATTTTTATTCTTTATAGAATTTTCAAACATTTACTTTTAAATAAATTTTTCTATAAAGTTTCTTTTATAGAGAATTTTCGCTAAATATTTTTTTTCGATAGATTTTTTTTTTGAGAAATTTTCTTTCTATAGAAAATTTTCGATAAATTTTCGTTCTATAGAAAATTTTCGATATATTTTCTTTCTATAGCCAAATTTTCGATAAATTTTCTTTCTACAGCCAAATTTTCGATAAATTTTCATTCTATAGCCAAATTTTCGATAAAGTTTCTTTCTATAGCCAAATTTGCGATAAATTTTCTTTCTATAGCCAAATTTTCTATAAATTTTCTTTCTACAGCCAAATTTTCGATAAATTTTCTTTCTACAGCCAAATTTTCGATAAATTTTCTTTCTATAGCCAAATTTTCGATAAATTTTCTTTCTACAGCCAAATTTTCGATAAATTTTCTTTCTATAGCCAAATTTTTGATAAATTTTCTTTCTACAGCCAAATTTTCGATAAATTTTCTTTCTACAGCCAAATTTTCGATAAAATTTCTTTCTAAAGCCAAATTTTCGATAAATTTCTTCCTATAGCCAAATTTTTGATAAATTTTCTTTCTATAGCCAAATTTTCGATAAATTTTCTTTCTACAGCCAAATTTTCGATAAATTTTCTTTCTATAGCCAAATTTTCGATAAATTTTCTTTCTACAGCCAAATTTTCGATAAATTTTCTTTCTACAGCCAAATTTTCGATAAATTTTATTTCTATAGCCAAATTTTCGATAAATTTTCTTTATATAGAAATTTTTTAATAAATTTTCTTTCCATAATAATATTTCGATAAATTTTCTTTCCATAATAATATTTCACTAAATTTTCTTTCTATAGAAAATTTTCGATAAATTTTCTTTCTATAGCGAAATATTTCGATAAATTTTCTTTATATAGCCAAATTTTTCGATAAATTTTTCTTTATATAGCCAAATTTTTCGATAAATTTTCTTAATATAGCCAATTTTTTCGATAAATTTTCTTAATATAGCCAATTTTTTCGATAAATTTTGTTTATATAGCCAAATTGTTCGATAAATTTTCTTTATATAGCTAAATTTTTCGATAAATTTTTCTTTATATAGCCAAATTTTTCGATAAATTTTCTTTATATAGCCAAATTTTTCGATAAATCTTCTATATTTTGCCAAATTTTTCGATAAATTTTCTTTATAAAGCCAAAATTTTCGATAAGTTTTGTTTATATAGCCAAATTTTCGATAAATTTTCTTTATATAGCCAAATTTTCTATAAATTTTCTTTATATAGAAATTTTTTAATAAATTTTCTTTTCATAATAATATTTCGATAAATTTTCTTTCCATAGAAAATTTTCGATAAATTTTCTTTCTATAGAAAATTTTCAATAAAGATTCTTTCTATAGAATAAAATAAAAAAAATTTTCGTACTATAGAAAATTTTCGATATATTTTCTTCTCCAAATTTTCGACAAATTTTCTTTCTATAGCCAAATTTTCGATAAATTTTCTTTCTACAGCCAAATTTTCGATAAATTTTCATTCTATAGCCAAATTTTCGATAAATTTTCTTTCTATAGCCAAATTTTCGATAAATTTTCTTTCTATAGCCAAATTTTCGATAAATTTTCTTTCTACAGCCAAATTTTCGATAAATTTTCTTTCTACAGCCAGATTTTCGATAAAATTTCTTTCTAAAGCCAAATTTTCGATAAATTTCTTCCTATAGCCAAATTTTTCATAAATTTTCTTTCTATAGCCAAATTTTCGATAAATTTTCTTTCTACAGCCAAATTTTCGATAAATTTTCTTTCTATAGCCAAATTTTCGATAAATTTTCTTTATATAGAAATTTTTTAATAAATTTTCTTTCCATAATAATATTTCGATAAATTTTCTTTCCATAATAATATTTCACTAAATTTTCTTTCTATAGAAAATTTTCGATAAATTTTCTTTATATAGCCAAATTTTTCGATAAATTTTCTTTATATAGCCAAATTTTTCGATAAATTTTTCTTTATATAGCCAAATTTTTCGATACATTTTCTTTATATAGCCAAAATTTTCGATAATTTTTCTTTATATAGCCAAATTTTTCGATAAATTGTCTTTATATAGCCAAAATTTTCGATAATTTTTCTTTATATAGCCAAATTTTTCGACAAATTTTCTTTATATAGCCAAATTTTTCGATAAATTTTCTTTATATAGCCAAATTTTTCGATAATTTTTCTTTATATAGTCAAATTTTTCGATAATTTTTCTTTATATAGCCAAATTATTCGATAAATTTTCTTTATATATCCAAATTTTTCGATAAATTTTCTTTATATAGCCAAATTTTTCGATAAATTGTGTTTATATAGCCAATTTTTTCGATAAATTTTCTTTATATAGCCAAATTTTTTGATAATTTTTCTTTATATAGCCAAAATTTTCGATAATTTTTCTTTATATAGATAAATTTTTCGATAAATTTTCTTTATTTAGCCAAATTTTTCGATAAATTTTCTTTATATAGCCAAATTTTTCGATAAATTGTCTTTATATAGCCAATTTTCTTTATATAGCCAAATTTTGATAAATTTTCTTTATATAGAAATTTTTTAATAAATTTTCTTTCCATAATAATATTTCGATAAATTTTCTTTCAATAGAAAATTTTCGATAAATTTTCTTTCTATAGAAAATTTTCGATAAATTTTCTTTCTATAGAAAATTTTCAATAAAGATTCTTTCTATAGAAAACTTTCAATAAAGATTCTTTCTATAGAAAATTTTCAATAAAGATTCTTTGTAAAAAAAAAAAATTTCGATAAATTTTCAAAACTTAATTCATTTAATAACAATGTCTAAAAAATAAACCAATTTCTTGTACTTACAGATTTCCCTCCGTCACTGGCATCGACAATTGCAGATCTACGTGGCAGCTTTTGAATATCTCCACCGCGCTCAATTGCATTTCGACTATCTAAAAGACAATCAGAAAAGTCCGTTTGCTAAAGAACTAAATCTGCTAATGATAAATGCTCGCAATATTTTGTGTAATATAGAACATGCCATCAATAATACCACCACACGCAAAAGGGCCACAAATATCGATTCACTCTTCATAAATCGCACTCGAATGGAAGGCATACTTAATTTTGCCACCAATATCAAATATGTATCACCCTTGAGGTGGCATGAAATTAGAACTGGTGACAAAAGTTGGACAGTTAATGTATTAGATTTACGTTTTGCCAAATCTCATTATTATGTTTTTTTGCGCAAATTAATGAAAACTCTAAGAATGCATACAAAAAGACCGGGACCCATAAAACTGGGCAGAAATGCAAATCAAAATAAATCAAAAAATAAACAAAATCAGCAGCTACAGCAACAAAGGAACAGGCAAAATGTTCACGGAACAAAATTAAGACATTCAAAGAAAAATTCGAATAAGTATTAAATAAATTTATAAATTTTGTAAAATGGTTAACGAAATACTTAATCTCGTCTACATTAGCATTCACATTTTAAACATTTCCCTAATTTATATTTGTCATTATTATCGAATTGAATTTTATATTAGTTTGGGTGAATTTTTTTTAAATAACTTGAAAACTATTTCAATTGTATTATTTATATATCATATCTTTATTTATCATTAAATATTATTGTTATAATTTAAGTACTAATCATAATCTCATTTTCAGGAATGAGTGGTTTCACAGTTTCTTGTTTATAAGAAAAAAAGTTTTAAAATTGGCAGTTATATAATGGCATCTGAGATACTTTTTATATTTTTTTCAAGTCGCTGAAACTGTGAACCTCTTAAAATATTTATATTTGTTAAACGATTTTCCATTATTGTTATTTATAAGACATTTTTTGTATTTATATTATTTAAAATGGAGCTGTGATATATTTTTTTAATAAATTTTTTTAATTAATTTTAATTGTATGTATTTATGAAAAATGAAAATAATAAATAACAGCTAAAAACACAAAATATATTGAAGTTTTATTTAATGCACAAGCGCAAATTAAATTTTCTGTTTATAGAAAATTTTCTAAAAAATTTGTTCTATAGAAAATTGTCTGTAAAATTTTTGGTTTATAAAATCTTCTATAAAATTTTCTATAAAGTTTTTTATAAAATTTTCTATAGAATTTTTTATAAAATTTTCTATAAAATTTTTTATAAAATTTTCTATAAAATTTTTTATTAAATTTTCTATAAAATTTTCTATAAAATTTTTTATAAAATTTTTCATAAAATTTTTCATAAAATTTTTTCTATGGAAAATTTTCGATAAAGTTTTTCTATAGAAAATTTTTGAAAAATTTTTTTCTATATAAAATTGTCTTTAAATTTTTTCTATAGAAAATTACCTATAAATTTGTTTTTATAGAAAATTTTCCATAAAGTTTTTCTATAGAAAGTTGTCTATAAATTTGTTTCTATAGAAAATTGTTTATACATTTTTTTCTATAGAAAATTGTCTTTAAATTTTTTCTATAGAAAATTGTCTTTGAATTTTTTCTATAGAAAATTGTCTATAAATTTGTTTCTATAGAAAATTTTCCATAAAGTTTTTCGATAGAAAGTTGTCTATAAATTTGATTCTATAGAAAATTGTCTGCAAATTTTTTTCTATAGAAAATTTTCTATAAATTTTTTTCTGTACAAAATTTTTAATAAATTTTTTATATAGAAAATATTTGATAATTTTTTTCTATAGAAAATTCTCAATAAATTTTCTTATTTTAGAACATTTTACAGAATATTTTTCCTAAATTTTCTTTATAAAACATATTTTGGTTTTTGCTGGGTTTCTCTTTATAAAAAATTTAATTCCGTTTTCAATTTTTAATTTTTTTATACCAACCATAAAAAAAGAACAGAAGTTATGTTGTTTTTGACATTCCGTTCAAAACACCTCGAAATATATGTATGTCTTAGATCCAGAAAAGTATATATGTATATACTGGATCCTCATTAGATTCTAAGACGATCTAGCCATGTCCGTCCGACTGCCTGTTGAAAACATGATTGGGTCCGAATAAAAAAGCTAAAGGGCCTAAATGTTCGGCAAAGACTTCTTATTGATGGAAATTGTTTGGTATTGAAAATGGTCGACATCGGTTCACGGTTTCTCCTGGGCCCCATACAAATGACCCCCGGAATACCGTTTAAACAGTTATCATCGGCTAAAAAAATACCACTTTTATGTCGACAGAAACAAGTTTGATCAATACTATAACCTCTCTACAAAATTTTATGGCAATCGGGCCATAATTGACCCCACCCCTAATATAAGGTCCCATTCAAAAAATGAATTTAACGTTCATAACTTGCTTTAAAATGCCAGTATACCAATGAAATTTTACCTGAAAGAGTGTTATATTAACCGAAATCTCTTTACAAAATGTAATGATGATTGGTCCATATCTGACAGCAACCCCGCCCACGGTCCCCTTCAGAAAATGACTTTAAAGCTCATAGCTGGTCTTAAAATGCAAGCATATAGAAGAAATTTTACATAAACCATTTTTATATTAACCGAAATTTCTTTACCAAAATTTTTAACAATCGGTCCATAAGTGACCCTATCCCCCATATAAGATTTCTATCAGAAGATGTTGTGTAAAAAAAATAATGTCCAGTCTAAAAAGTTAGTACTTACGTATAAGTCCTTATTTGACTCCTTCTAAGTAATGCAGGCGGTATGTAGTAGTCATTGAAAAGTAAGTTCTTCAGTGCTTATTAGTCATTAACGTGTTTTTGCTGGATAGCTTTTACATTAATATTTTTATACAAAAAAAATTTCATTTTCAATTTGTAGTTGGCTTTAAATAACCCATTTAAACCTTTAAGCCATTTCCTCTCATTTACACTTATCCATTCCTACAACTACTGCACAAATACAATTTTCTTTTCATACAAATATTAACAAGATTTTATTAAATATTTAGATTTGAATGTGAGTATTTCATTTCTCAATTAAATACCATACGAAAAACATTCATCACTATTGACTGACCATTTTTCTCTTATCACAAATTAAACAAAAGTCGTACTGGAACGGGTGAGGAAAGAAAATAATAAAAAAAAAGAGTTACAAACACTTTTCTTTAAATTGTTAATGCGTTGTATTATATGTAGTTTCATCAGTTCCGTGTTCTTTGTGTTAAAGTTTATTTTCTTTATTCCGTCTTTTTGTTTTTGTTCATTATTTAGACAAATATTTTTACGCCTTAACAACAAGTTGTTTGTCAATATTTGTTCATTTCGATTGAGCATTCGATCTAACGAGTTGAGCAAGTGTATGTTTCAAAAAAAAATATCTTACAAAACGTTCTTTTCACTCTCTTTATTCTTTCTTTTTTTTTTGTTATTATTTGAATTTAGTGTATTGATCGTTATTTAATGACCCTTTTTTCACACATGTAATTATATGGTAAATATAAGTATGTATATATGTATGTATGTAGATAGAAAGTGTATGATGTTGGGCTGCTTATATTTGTTGTTTTGTTTGCATTGGGAAAATAAAACAAAAAAGGGTAAAATATATTATTATTATTCCCTACATTAAAGGACTTTGGCTCACCGCCTTTTTGGTTTTGTTGACATACGTTTTCTTTCCTTTCCAATCCATTTCATTCAGTGTTACAAAACACTTCATTATCTTATGAGTTTTTGTTTGATTTGTATTGTATTTGCTTTTACTCTTTCTTTTTCGTCAATTTTAGTTTAATAAAAGTGATCACACTTAACAGCGGAATGTGAAGAGTAAATAACTTTCTTTAGTATTTAAAAAAAACAACAAGTAAGAAAGTAAACTCTTTCAAGTTCGACTATATTATGCACTATACTTTATTCCCGGGGAATAAAGATGCTACCAATACCTCTAGTCTACCGGGACTAGAAACTGGAGATGTTTAATGACTACTTGGAGTTATTTGACTCGCAGTTTGATCAGAACACTTATCTTATCCCAAATTGCAGAAATAGAATGTTGTTTAAAGGACTGTTGCACGTTTAAATTCATATCTTCTGGATAATTTATTTCCACTACTACTCCATAGAGAGGCTGTGGAAATACATGGTGGGGAATAAACTGATATTACAAATATTGGATCAAATGTTGTCATGCTTTAAGATATCGCTTTAAATGAATTGTCGCAGTTGCTGATTGATGTTTATCCCTTCTAGAGTTAACTCAGAATCACATAGACTGATCCTGTTGCAAGGTAATAAATCTTGTCAATGTAATGAAGCTGTACTCTGGGCTATCAAATATGATGTCTAGGCACAGTTGCCGAAACGTACGACCATCAGTAGTATGGTTGTGTGTCTTTCAATGATAGGAATCATTAAGGTGTAGTTTGTGACACATCGGGTGTTGGATACGTCCCCATCTACTGATTCTACTAACCTATATATTGTTGTTATATATACGTGTCATTCCTCAAATGGGCAAGGGATTAGGTAGGTTGAATACTTTAGTAAAGTGCTTGATCGGGCCAATCATGTTTATGTTCGATCCGAAAAGTGGAATTCAAATTTCAACTGCCGTGGAAAACTTGTAATGGGACTGCAGATTACTCAATGGATTACACCGACACCAATGTATTCATTGATCCTGGTGGTAATTCCAACTATTTAATCGTATTCTAAGATTAGATTTAACCCGAATGATTGGCAGTAATAGAGAAATCTAAACTAGGAATAATTAATCTTAAGGAGATTAGTCATCCCACTCACAGTTGAGCAACGCCATAGAATTTTCGTGATTCTACCAATTGTTCTGTTACTCCAAGTGCTCGTGATAGATTTTCTTTTAAATTCACTCTCGTTGCAATTGTCGGGTTCCCTTTTCTCAGGTATATCTCTGGCATTACTACTGGATAGACCTGGATACCAGGTGATACAGTCGGCTATGAATGAAACTGTTACGTCTTCAATCAGTCGATATCATTATAATTGAGAGGTGTAGAAACAAAGGCAGCAATCTTCATTTCATCCATAATCTTAGCTAAAAACTTGGGACCCCATTTGCCAACAAACTTCTTCACCCTATTGCTCATAGCAATTTAGTCCGCTAGCTAGTGCTTTAATCTGGAAGATCATTGTTTCCGGGAGTTTAAATATAGATTTTTAAGGCCGACTTATAACCAGTTTGGTGCCTTCCATGTATGAAAAGTTGACCGTTAATGTTCCATGAGATCAGTGACTTGCCTTTCCGACCAGTTCTGTATCTGGTATGAAATCCGTCAAATGGGACTGAGATAAATTAAATCTTTGAAAAATATGGACTAACTGCAGAAGGTATCAAATATTGTATGCTCCTCAAATATAAATTACGTTTATTGCTGCATTTTGTTGCCTGAAAAAAATTCCCTGGAAGATATACAATTTTTATAATTTTTTCCGTTATAATAACAACTTTGAGTGATTCCAGCTGCAAATAAAATTAAACTTAAAAATTTTTATAAAATAAATATTTCATAATTTAGAACAATTGCAGTTAAAACAGATGTTGGCCTTTAACTTTTTTCTGCTATTACACAATAATTGTTGTTGTCTGAGAACGAGCAGTAGTAATAGTTGTCTGATTTTCATTTTTCACCCATAAAACAATTTGACCACACAGGCGCCACAGATAGAGGAACACATGTAAAAAAACAACACACGTGAAAAATAAGTGTGTTTTATTTAGTTGTTTTTATTTTGCTTTTTCAAGTGCCTCTTGTAACTGCCTCTCACATCCATTCAATTGTTATCCTATTGAGTGTCTAATGAGCGTTATAAA